CCAGTCCCTCCTAAGCACCAAGGAGCAAATGACGTTTTGGGTTTATAGGGACCCTATTTACAACTGGGCTGGCCTTTGGGTCATTTTTTTTAGTATTTCCAGTGTTTGTTTGTTTTTTTCGGGACCCTAGATACTAATATTTTTTNNTTTCAAGGGGCTCCAAAGGCCAACCCAGAGTCTATGATAAAGCAAAGGATGGAAAACCCGGAGTATGTACACTGAAGTAAACCCGTATGTACTAGGTATACAAGAGCTGCAGGCGTGGCTTTTTTTATACAAAAAAAGGATCTTTGTTAGGCAAAGAAAGGTGAAAAGACCAAAAATCTGGTGGGTTTTGGAGAGTTTTTGCTCCCAGAAAGCCTCGAAGGCATCTCCTGTCCCTACCTATTGGGTTTTTTAATTACCGGTGCGTTTTCAAGGGGGAGTGCTAGAGTGGATCCTTGTAATGGTCCCTATATATAAGTACATAGTCTCCTGTAGTAGTCCCTACATTCCCTCATCCACTCTCCCTTAATTGAGCGCCAGTAGGTTTTGTGGCACAGGACAACTCAGGTATCCAGTACATTTTGGAGTCTGAGAAGGCTGTTCCGAACAGCAAGGCGTCCCCTAGTGGGTTCCATATGATGTATGGAACATTTCTGGTGCCGTTCCTGCTGACTCATCCAGGCGCCACGTTGCTGGAATTTGGGTCTGGCTGTAGTCAGAGTGAGACTGAGGTTGTGAGCATAGCGCTTTGGAGCAAGATGTTTCCCACCGCTGACCTCTGGGAAGGAAACCTAGATCCTGGCTGTCAGAACCCCAACTCAGGATTGAGAGGTGTGCGACAGTTGACAACATCAGGGCATCAAAGCGAGGAAGGTGCAGTACGCGAGTGGTTGAAGTCCATTCAGACTGATCTACATGTTGTTATCCATCATGGTCACCAAAAGATGTCCTGTTTCAGCATATTGTGGCAAGCGTTGAAGCCTGGCGGTATGTACTTCATGCAAGTATCAGATGATGATGCGGGGATCTCTACAACCCTACAGCAATGGATTGATGAGTTGTTGACCCATCCACGTACGAACCCAATGCCAAGTGGAGTGGAATCCATCTACTGCCAGACACACGCTTGCATGATCCGGAAACAAGTTTGCCACCATGAGGTTGACAGTAGCGGTAACTTTGTTGCTCACAATATCCGTTCCTTTGCAAGCACGGCACAAGGTATGCCAAGAGTCACTGACAAGACGACACATCATCGGTATCAAGTAATGTATGCCACCTTTCTGCTCCCCTTCATGCAAGCTCGGCCGCAGTCGAAGATGCTGGAGATTGGACTTGGCTGCATGATGGATACCGGTCCTGGTGCGAGCGTAGAGCTCTGGAAGCGATTATTCCCTATGGTTGAACTCTGGGAGGCAGAGTATTATGCCAACTGCGTGGAAAAGGCACGTAAAGCTGGGCAACTGGTGGAGGGAGTTGGCATTGTGACAGGAGACCAAGGTGACAAAGCCACCTTACAGGAATGGGTGAACAGAACCGGTGGGAATTTTGATGTCATCGTAGATGATGGCAGCCATCACAACAAGCACATCAAAGCCACCTTCGACGAATTATGGCCCTCCTTAAGGCCTGGCGGTTTATATTTCATGGAGGACCTGCAGGTCGGGAGAGATCCCCCTTTTGCCGATGGCCAAGCTCCATCAACATCTGAGATCATGCAGGCATGGGTCTAAAACCGCATTATTCTCCCAGTGTTGGTTTAGGGTTTAGGGTGCCATTTTGCGTTCTATCATGGAGTATAACCATCATCGTGTCACATGTCGTCGCAGTTGTCAAACAAGGCCTCAACACGACCAACCCTGAGTTGCGATTAACTTCCCATATTGGAAGGGTGGTCCCATTTGAGAAAGTACAGGTCCAGGCGAGGGCTTTCGACCCACCATCGGATATGTGAAGCGTGCCTCCTCGCAGCAGCAGCAGCAG